GAGTAAAGTAGATTCAATCTTGAAGTTTCTTGTTTGGAATTTTAATTGTGGATTGTTGGCCAAACTGCTAGTCTGAAATCTCAAATTTGAAATTTCAGATCATGAATTTACAAGGTCTGAATTGCTATTTTCCAATCTCATATCTGTAAATTCAGATCATGAAATAGTGAGATCCGAACTGCTATTCTATAAAATCAGATCTGTGATTTCAGATCATGAACTTGTAATACCTAAATTACTTGAGAAAGAATTCAGGTAGCTTTAATTCAATTTGGCCGAAATGCTCATCTTTTTTGGAATTCCTAGAGTGCTAGAGAAAGACTTTAAGAATTCAGATCTGCCAATCAAGAGCCGAACTGAGTGCAAGGTTAGATATAACTTGCACAATTCGGTTGGTGTTCTTTCAGCTGAGTTGATGATCATCCAGCTAAAATGAATCCCTAGAATTGCTAAGATCTGAATGCATGCATGGTGATTAGATCCTTGATAGAGATATAAGGACCATCACTCATGCATAAGTTGAACATGCGCTCGAGAGAGGTTGTTCATTGCTTTGGGATTTCACCAAACCAAGGCTGAATCCTATTCTACTCGAATTGCCTAGAAAACTAGTTGCTGAATTTATTTTTCTATGCATCTTTAGCTTGTCTCCTCACTTGCATACAAGGTGTTTGGTCCAATGTGTTAGAAATAACTTTGTAGTTAGAGTTTCAGATTTTCATTAGTGTTACATTTCGGTTAATCAGATAATAGTAGACTGATTTATTATTAATAGTTGCTACATAAGTCCTCGTGGGACGATACTCTACTCACTACTCTATTACTTGAGCGGCTAGTGCACTTGCTAGTGTCACAATGAGCCACACATCAATAATCGAGTCTAGGGGTCAGGTGTAACATTCCAGTTTTGCCCATCTATCTCTAAGAACCGGGGCAATACTGGAATTTCTATCCGGTTCAGGGCGTCAAGAAAACCCACACTACATGTACCTCAGGTCTCACCCTAACAGCTGAGACAAGCTACCCCAACCAACTTGGCAGTACATCAGTGTTAGTCTTGGCAGGATAAATCTCCCTTGATCTATCCAACGGTTATGAAGATTCTAAACTAACACGAGTTTCATAAGTATCCAGTTTAAGGGTATTACACAAAAACACACCACAATGACATGAATCAATTATGTACTTTATTCATTTACAATAAATGTCAAAAGGTACATCAATCTGATTGGAGCTAAGGGCATAACTGTCTAACAGCTCCCACTTGCACTTAGGTCTAATCGGGTACAAGTCGGAGTCCCATATTTTCCCCGTGTTTCTTAAACACTTTCTATGTCAGTGGCTTAGTTAATGGGTCTATCACATTCTTCGCTGATGCTACCTTTTAACATCAATCTCCCATACATTTAGTGTTGTCACACAACAGTGGAATGGGTGATGTGCCGAATTCCAAATTCCAGAATGAACACCTTCATTCATTAGGCAGTCTCGCTTACGACAATGTGCTCGGCTTGGGTTGTGGAATCTGCTATTTTTACTATTCAGGGCCCCATCGTGAAGATGTAACCAGATGTAGACATTCTACCATCTGGATCTGATTGATAGTCAGTAACAGTATACTCGATGATTTGTAGTGAGCTACCATCGAATACCAAGCAAAACTCTTTTGTCCTTCGAAGGTATTTCAATATGTTTTTCACAGCGGTTCAATGCTCTTGTCATGGGTTAAACTAGTATCTACTTACCACACTCACGGCTTGAGCAATGTCTGGCTGAGTGTACAGCATGGCATACATGATGCTCCCTACGGCAGAGACATAGGGAACTTCTTTCATGCCCTCAATCTCCTCAGGTGTCTTGGGAGACATACCCTTGGAAAGAGTGACTCTATGCCTGAAAGGAACATTTCCTTTCTTTGAGTTCTCCATACTGTATCTTTTGACTATCTTATCAATGTAAGTAGACTGGGATAATCCTATTATCCTTTTCGATTTATCTCTATAGAGTTGAAGTCCCAAGATATAAGAAGCTTCTCCAAGATCCTTCATGGAGAATTGCTGTGAAAGCCATACTTTCACCGCAGTCAACATTCCTACATCATTCCCAATGAGTAGAATGCTGTCTACATACAAAACCAAGAATGTAACATTATCCCCACTGGTCTTCCTGTAAACACAGGGCTCATCCGGATTCTGCTCAAAGTCAAACCGTTTGATAGTAGAGTCAAACCGAATCTTCCAACTCCTAGAAGCTTGCTTAAGTCCATATATGAATTGATTGAGTTTACATATCATGTGTTCCTAACCTACAGTTGTGAAACCTTGCGGTTGCTACATATAGATATCTTCAATAAGATCTCCATTCAGGAACGCGATTTTGACATCCATTTGCCAAATCTCGTACTCATGGTATGTTGCTACAGTTAGTAGGATCCTAATGGATTTAAGCATGGCCATGGGCGAAAAGGTTTCCTCATAATCGATTCCCTCTTTCTAAGTGTACCCTTTCGCCACAAGACAAGCCTTATAGGTTTCAACCTTACCATCAAGGCCATTCTTCCTCTTTCAGATCCATTTACAACCAATTGCTTTTACCCTAGGGGGAAGATCTACTAGAGTCCAGACTCCATTGGCCTTCATTGAGTCCACTTCAACTCTAATGGCATCTACCCACTTTAAGGAATCTATGTCCAATATAGCTTCCATATAAGTCACGGGATCCTCCTCCCTGGTCGTGGCTTCCACCAACTAACTTTATTGGTCA